CTAGACAAAAATTTACCGCTGTTCCAAATTCCCCTTCAGCCGTTTAGACGTGATTTGGTCACAGACAAACACACAAACATTTGGAAAGTTTTACAACACATTTGAAAGATATTACAAAGGAGAACAGAAAGAAAAACAGCTTTATTCTGGTTTACTGAGCAAACATTGGAATGAACCGGATTAAAAAGCGATAAGATAGCAGTTAAACTGATAAAACAATCTACACACACAGGTACATCGCATGATCATGGCTCTACGAAGTGTTTTAAAAATAAAAATGTAAAAATTTTTGAGCAATTGGGTAGTTTCATGGGTCAAACCTAAATATGTAATTTGATTTTTTAGTCGATTTAAATATTGAAAAATAATTACACTCTCATTTATTGATTTGCCGATATACTTACTTAATATTCTATTTATTCTGGCATTTCTTTTAGATATTAGTGTGCCATTTGCCGCGAAAATATGATGACGTCATAAGTAGGGATTTCGTACAAAATTCATAGAACAGTATCGTTTTTGACGTTTCGATAAAAGTATTGAATTTGACTAGTTGTAAGAAAGAAATGTTATGTTAAATGTTTATTACTCCATCACGTCAAAACGGCTGAAGAAATCGAGGTGAATTTTGGAACAGGGGGTAGACATAGGCTACTTTTTATCAAACGGGCGAAGCTGCTGACAGACGCAGGTATAAATTATTATTATTCCACCGATTCCGCGGCCGCATTAATAATAATTACGCTAACACTGCGCAGCACACGACGCCGACACACAGCAAGACGACAGCACAATAGTCGTGACAATTCGTATTTAAATTTATTACTTATATACGTATTTATAGTATTTTAACTTAAAATTGTAGTAGGTACATATATTATGGTATTATTGTATATGAGCCTTCGTTGTCAATAAATAGAAAAAATAAATTCATATTATTTAAAACTTTTTCATACACAAGATTTGAAATATTTTATTATTATAATATAAAGTTATCACGGGAGATAAGCAGACAAGTCAACAGGAGCCGTGTGCAATAAAAACAATAACTTACAGTTCACACAAATACTGTATTGTTAATATTGTTTTGTATTTTATTTGTGTGACGTCAGTATTATTATCGATTGACCAAGCATTTGTCAACAATTTTAATTACTTCCATCATGTATGTAGAAATTGCGTGATTTAGTCTATATTTTGTATTAAGTATAGTTTTTATTAGTTTAACCGCCGTACTCAGTCATTTATTACTTAATCAAGTCCTTAGTACGAATACGAGTTTTCTATGAATTTTGTACGAGATTGTGTATTGTGACGTCACGTATTTTTGCGTCAAACAACATAAACTTCACGTAAATATTATACTGAGAAAAGCTCTAAAAGTTTCGAGTTACAAAGGGACCTCTTACCCGTGAGTAGCTAATTGGTTTAATTTTAATTTAAGTGACATAAGATATTCGACGCAAACCGAAATATAAGCACTTTTCAACAAAATTATCATTAAAAAAACAATTTCACTCGCCGGAAACTACGATATATGGTCATAAGTACAAGTTGTAAAACTTTTATTCATTACCTAATTAAAGCGACTGAAATTTTTCTTCATTAACTAGAGGTTCAATTCCATTAATAACAATGCCTATTTTGTAATTAACTTTGACATCACATTAACATACACGGTCAGTTTATCCTGCTCCCGATTTGTACGCTTTTCCAGTGTAACTGTACATAGTAATATGACATTGTCTTCGTTATCAATCACGATAGGTACTTTACTACGCGTTATCAGTAACAGTTTGTTTGTTATCGTGCCTCTCGACTACCAAACGACGCCAGTTTACTTTTTCTACAGCTTCATTTCAATTTTGATGTGTTAAACCCATAAATCCATGAAACAAGTGAATTAATTTTGCAAATAGGCTAATTTAAAATAAAGATATATATAAAGATGAGGCCGACATTTCCTAACTGACTAAATCCATGATGCAATATATATAATGCACCTGAATAATAGTTTATGCTTTTCTGTTATCAATTCAAAATGTCGTCCATCAGGTGATCTTTATCTCTACAATTCTTTATTCAGGAGATTGTAGGATTAATGCTTTGACATTGAAAAATAAAAAAAAATCCTCTTTTCTATTTTATAAATAGAAAAGAGGATTTTTGTAAATAAAAAAAAAGAAAGAGGTTCTCTGACAATCGCATTGAATTTCTGTCAAAAATCGGATGTGCTCATTGCAATAATAATAAAAAAAACATTTTGATTAGGGTTAGAAGACCTTAATTTGGACCATTATTAATCAAGTTTCATTTACGAATATTTCTACAAAAAAACTTGATTATAGTTACCGTGTTATCAGCCTATAAAAGTTCAATGTCAAATAATTTTTTTTTTCAGATAGCATCAGAGGAACTACACATTAAATTACTTAATAATTTTGAATAACTCACCTTCTTCATAACCTCTGAGGCAATGGGCACCATGGAGTTGACGGGGTTGGTGATGATACAGATCATAGCTTTTGGTGCATGTACTGCGATGCACTGAGTCAGATCCCGGACGATGGAAGCGTTTACATTGAACAGGTCATCTCTGGTCATACCTGGCTTGCGGGGAACTCCAGCGGGGATAACCACCACATGTGCATCTGTGGGTACCAGAAGTTAGACATCTATACTAATATATAGAGCTGTAGAGTTTGTTTGAGCGGCCTAATATCAGATTTACATAATTAATTAGACCCTGTTAAGCAGAAAAATCCAGCCAACATTATATTACAGTTGAGTACTTAAATGAAGTTTAAAGTAATCATATGATACAAGTAAACAGTACCTATTCAATAGGTATTGTGTTTTTTATATTATCAGCCCAACATTAAACTTCATTTAGTCAAAAGTAATAAAATGTAAGGTGGATCTTTTCTGCATAACAGGATCCATTATTGTTAATAGTTTTATTTAGATAACTTAACACCTAACTGCTGCCTTATTGGTCGAGTGGTTGCAAGTGCGATTTCCAGGCAAGGGGTTTCAAGTTCGATTCCCAGGTTTGGTAAAGCATAACTGGGTTTTTAAAAATTCTCAGTAGTAGCATGAAGTCTGGAATTATGCTCAGTATATGGCGCTAGGCTCACCCCCTATCACATGGGACTCATAACAAATAGTGTTAAGTTGGTGTTACATTGAGCAGTGGCATTAAGTGCCGTAATGTGCACCTATGCCTACCGCTATAGGGAAAAAAGGCGTGAGTTATGTTGACACGTAAAATGGTTAGAAACTTGACATTATTAGGCTGAAACATAGCACTAAAGTATTGTCAGAAAAGTTATAATTACTTTGCTAATAATCACATATTAGCTCAAAAATAGATGAAAACACAATATTATCTTCTGACAAGATTGGAATCTTGTAACAAGTCTGCTCTCGGAATGAATGTAGGATATGTCAATTGGACATCAACATTAGTCTTATTAGACAGGACATATCATTTATTTTATTTGATTTAATAATATCTTAATGATAAATAATGTAACAACGTAGTTGTATTGAAATGCCTAGTAGTAGTTGTACTGAATTATAATAAATTAAATTTTAATTGACTTAGCATTAGTCAGCTATTAATGGCTGCTACTTCAAACTGGTCCCTATTATAATTTATTGTTCCCACATTAGTCTAGTAAGCCAGTAGGTAAATATTTGATATGAATTTAATATATTATTTCAAGTGTGCCATGTTGGCTCATTGTAATCAGTTGAAAAAAATAGTTGGAAAGTTGTACTTTTCCACAGAAAATACTAATTAAACAAATAGATTACAATTATTATTCATATCTTCTTTTATATTGTTACTATTGACACAAAGTTCAAATTCCAACAACAGAATTAAAATATTCCATAGATCAAAAAACTTTTTTAATGTCAAGGTCATGTATCATTTAAATATTACGACACAGATTACATCGTACATGCTTAACCTTGAATTATCTAATTTTAGCGCAAAACATCAATGAACTTGAACATTTTAGGTTACGTTATGTAACATGCTAATATTTTGTACTTAGGGCAACACTCACCTGCGATGGCGGATGGCAGCTCATCGGGACCTCTGTAGCCGAGGACCTTGGATGGCGTGTCCATGTGGGACAGGTCGGCAGCGACACCAGGGGTAAAGGGAGCGAGATCGTACAGAGCTAGCGTGCTCACCAGGGGGTCCATCTTCAGCAGCAGTGATAGAGGCTGCCCGATACCGCCAGCTGCACCGGCAACCATGACTTTGAATTGCATCTAGAGAAAAATTTATGTCAGTCCAAAATTCCTAAAAAATCGTCCGGTCCTTAGAACCAGTTTTTGGACATCGAATTTTACCTCAGGGCTGGTGGAAAAGTTCTTGGCTCCATTCTGGAATGCCACTGTGGCGATGGGTCTCAGTGCACGGGAGAACATTTTGCGTCGTCTGTTTTTAGTAAAAGCCACTAATTTATGAAGACAATAGCAAGTCTACTTGACCCTGCCGACCTTTCGAAGATAACTAGTGATGTAACTTTGGTGTCTTTGGTCTGTCAATTTGGACTTGATGTCAGACGTCAACGTCATCATTTTAATCTTATGACATGAATACAGAATACACGTAATCAAGGCTATTAAAACTCAATTTAATATTAAATTGAATTAAATTAATGATATCCATAAAGGTAATTGAAAAATATTAGTGTTAATGTGCTTTTTTTTTGATATGCCCTTACTGAATTCCAATTCCAATATTTGATATGAAAAAGAAGAGTAAACCACAGAGTAGAGCAATTCCATTCCCAGATTTTAATAATACTATTATTTACATTGATAATAAAATGTTATGAACTTTAAAAATTTTGTTCTGGCTATTTGATTTAATGAATTTTAATCGATACCTAAATTGAGTTCTTTTAAAAAAATCTTTTTCGTTTATCTATTTGTGACCGCCCCTCCCTATTATCAGTTTGTCATCACTAAACGTCAAACTCAAACAAAATGACAGCTTCGTGATGTGATGAAAACATTGCAGATATTCTCACAATAGTTTTGGATTTGAACTTGATATATTTATTAAAAAGACTTATCTCGTATTGCAGTGTATTGATTACATCAAAATGAATGTAATACAAGCGGTTAAACTGTACATTACGAGGATGACGGAGGAGAGTGGTCCGGGAATGAAAGTTATTCTCATGGACAAGGAAACGGTGAGTTGTACGCCCCATCGATTAATAAATACTAGTTTATTACAAAATTACATGTTTATTGTAATTTACATCGATACTATACCTCTATGTCTATGTACGATACAGAACCACTATAACTGGATCTAATTTTCGTTTTAGAATCACATACGCATTTAAACGGGGCTCCAAATTCATTGCTATTGTACAATACGATACAAAAATTGTATCATATTTATTACGATCCAAGATTGTAGACTAATTCTAATCATTCAAAAGCAATTAAAATCATTTTTCTCATGTCATATTATGCTACACATTTTCGCTATAATAACTAATAAAATAATACATTATAATATACAGATTGGAGCTAACATTCAAGGTACTTACACAAAATTTTGCACAGGCGAATCCCATTGTTTCTTTTTTTTATATTTTTTTCTCATTAATAGTTTATAAGAGTACCATTTTATTCGATAATAATTCAATCATAAATTTACTTAAATTACCGAAATATAATTTTTTTGTAATCTTTATTATTATTTATACATTGACAGGTTGTAATTTTTCCAAAATTACAAATGTCAATTGTAAATTATTTTTCTACATTTTCTTTTCAGACAAGTATTGTCAGTATGGTGTTCAGTCAGTCTGAGATTTTGCAAAAAGAGGTTTATCTCTTTGAGAGAATTGATAGCCATTCGAAGTGGGATAATATGAAGCATATGAAATGCATTGTTTTTGTGAGACCGACTTCTGAAAATATTTCGTTATTGTCCCGGGAACTGAGATACCCAAAGTATGGAGTGTATTTTATATGTAAGTGTTGATTCTTATTATATTTTGTACCCCACCTTTTAACACTGTAAAATTATATTTGATATAGTTACTTAGCATGTTATACGCCATGAGGGTCTTAGGTGACCGACATTAGCAGAGGATATGCCTTCAATAGTTGGATATTGGCATTCAAAGACGCAGTTATAGATGAAGACTGGAGATGCATATGCACAATATTGCGTCTACTTTTCACCACTAATCAATTTCAATAGAGAATTAAAATAGCCAGTATCATATCCCTGGACATGCATATTTGATAGCTGTGATTGGAAAAATAAACTTTTTCCTAAATTAGCACCATTTGGTTAGCAAACGAATACTATCCTACTAAATCACTTTTATTTAAGAGCTAATGACTGTTGGGGTAGAAGTGTTCTGGAGTGAAGACCGTGTCAGGCAAATATAGTATAGGGCACCCTCTAGCTAGGTGGAGTGAAAATATCTGCAAAGTGGCTTGTAATGGTTGGATGCATAGAGCTGAAGATTGAACTTAGTGGCATGCTATTGACGAGGCCAATGTCTAGAAGTGCATGAGAACCGGCTGTTGATGGTCAGCAAAATTACGATACCATTTCAAACCTTCTACAGGAATTGATAAACTCATTTTTGCCCCAAACAATTCAACCAACAAGGCATTCCATTACACTTTGTGAAACTTAACCCGTATATCCCCAAGTGGTCACAGGTGACCGCTCTCCACTACCAACTATTACTATTATAGACCTTATTCCAATTTTTAGAGACTACTTTTGTATGAATAAATTTAGGGGATGATTTTCAACAATTTTCAATGGGTTAATCTTATTTATTCTCCAGATTTCAGCAATGTTATATCTAAGGCGGACATTAAGACGTTAGCTGAGTGTGATGAGCAGGAGACAGTTAGAGAGGTGCAGGAAGTTTTTGCCGACTACCTCGCTGTGGACAGACACCTGTTCTCCTTCAACATTGTTGGATGCTTGCAAGGTAAATGAGAAAATTATTTGTGTAAATAGACTGGGTGCAGTTAACTCTGATTGGGAGGGACTAGTTTACTTCGCTGAGAGATTTTCGCTGCATCGTGTATAAGCAGTCATGAGTATCCTTGCGAGCTTGATACTAATCGAGTTCCTCCTCAAAAGCTTTGCATACTACCGAAAGGTACAAGAACAACACTTTTACGTGTAATTAAAATTTTAATCTCTAGATATTTTTTTAATTTTAATTATTAAAAGATTAAAACAACATTCGATATAATAATCGTCTATAGTGGTCGATCAATTGATATTCGATCATTTGGTATTCAATATAGCATAGTAAACTCGTACCAACGAAACAATTTAACGAAGAATTGTATTGTAAACATGATTGAAAAAGAGTTACCTATGGAGTTTCTTGGTCGTTCTTCTCCATAGGAATCTACACTTTGGAACGAGCAAATAGCTTCACTACAATAGACTGACCGACAGATATTTTTTTCTTTAATATTTAATATTTTTTTAACGTTCAAAAGTGCCTTCTAATCTAATTGAAATAAAGATTTTGACTTAGACAATAATTGTATCCCCAGGTCGCTCCTGGAACCCGCACCACTTGCAGCGTTGTGCTCAAGGCTTGCTTGCGTTACTGCTATCCGTGAAGAGACGCGCAGTAGTTCGCTATGAGGCAGCATCGGAGCCGTGCGCCCGTCTCGCAGAGAGAGTGAGAGACCTCCTACGGAGAGAGGCAGTGCTCATTGATAACAATATACCATTCAATGGAGAGATACCAACACCACAGCTGTTAATTATTGATAGAAGAGATGATCCTGTTACGCCGTTGTTGAATCAGGTTTGTTCAAAGTAGTTTAACTGGTTTTTTACTAGAGCACTGGTTGTCTTCAGATATAAATTCAAAATACTCAGAAGCTTCAGGTTGTGTTAAACATGCTCCATCGTTGCTTACCACCAGATGAGGTAGTGGAGTTACTACAATAAAAAAATAGATCTTAGGACTCGGATAGTAGCGACCAGCCACTCAGGAATGCGCGGCGGCATCGTCTAAATTTTGTCCTTTGTGATACTTAAGACTATGAAATTGAATAACCTTGGAACAATTTTTTATCCTTTTTTGGCACCATCGATTGATTGATCGGGCAAAGTACTACTGAATATTTAAAAAAAAAATTAGTAGTATGTAGCATGGAGCCTGGAATTGTGCCCAGTATATGGTAATAGGCTCACCTCCTATTACATGACTCAAAGCATAAATAGTGAAAAGTGAGTGATACATTGTACAGTGGCATTGAGTGCTGTAATGTGCTCCTCTGCCTACCCCTTCGGGAGTTAAAGGCGTGATGTTATATTTTAATTATTACTTATGTTTTCAGTGGACATACCAGGCGATGGTGCACGAGTTGCTGACGATCAACAACAACCGCGTCAGTCTGGCGCACCTGCCTGACGTGCACAAGGACTTCAAGGAGGTCGTACTGTCCTCGGAACAAGACGAGTTCTATGCCAAGGCGAGTATTATAGTAATAGTGCCCACTGTTAAGCAAAGGCCTCTTCTTACACTGAGAAGGATCGTATAGTAGTCATAGAATTGCATAATTACATGCAGAACGATTGTCATAGAGGACGTCTATATACGCTGGTATAGTTTCCTTTAAGTTTGGCTTCACACTACAATTACCTACTATGTCCCGGGCCGTGACCCACCTTCATGGATGCGTTTACCAACATACAAATTCCCATCACACTCACTCATGAAACAAAAATTTGTGGGTCACAGAATTATTCTAAGCGGAAATCGCACTCACCATACGTTGTCATTGCACCAACCTAACTGCACAGTCAGTTGAACTATGAAAATACATATATTTTAAATAATTTCTCTTTAATTTACTCCATAATTCTCTAAATTACAGAACTTATACTCAAACTTCGGTGAAATCGGTCAGACAATGAAGTCGTTGATGGACGAGTTCCAGAAGAAAGCCAAGAGTCATCAGAAAGTCGAGAGCATCGCAGACATGAAGAACTTTGTGGAAACTTATCCATTGTTCAAGGTAAGCGTGAGGTGAAAAAATGTAGTCAAGTCAAAAGCACCATCGCATCGTTCGTTTACCATCAGGTGATTCGTCCCGAGCGTACGGAGCGTCGCGTTCCGCGCGCGTCCCACAGAGCCATCAGACCACCACGGATAGGGCCCAACAGGGCTTATCGGCATAAGCCCTGTACGGAGCCGCGGAGAACTTAACGGGTTACCGGGGCTCCGGCTCGAAGTGTAGGAGTAGGAACGGGGTAATTTTTAGTCAGTAAGAGTCTGACACTCCCTCCCGGGAGAAGTAATTTGATGATTATCTCCCCATAAAAAAAAACAGGTCATTCGTCTGATCGTTTGCCCCTGATTTCATAAGAAAACGTAGTGAATAATCGTCTTTTCATCATCAGCAGACATGCCTGTGACAGAGCTACGGACCTCCATACAGATGGCCTCGCTTGATAAGCATGTATTCTTACAAAGGATCAGGTTTATCAGACACCGCAACAAACAATTATCAGTTTTTACTAAAATACTAATTGATGGTATCTGTCTAACGTTATCGACTTATCGTCTTGTTATTCTTATCATGTAATCAAAGCACTTAAATGAATTAGACAAATAACTCTTAACAAATATGTAACTGAAAATGAAGAATAATAGAAGCCGTACAATTCTTAAGGGGTAGGTAGATAGAGGTGCAATTACCACACACACGTGCGCACAATGTAACACTCACATTTCATTCGTTATTGTTGAGTACTACTGGTGGTAAAAGTAAATGGAATATTGCATTTCACCTACCTACATCTTTATATATATATAATTCTGCTGTACGTGTGTATATCATTGAACTCCTCCTTAACGGCTTGACCGATTTAAGTGCATTTTTCTGTATGCGTTTGAGTGGCGCCCTGGATGGTTTAGATTCACAAATCAGCCCGGTAGATGGCGATGCAGTTGGTTTCTAGGTTATTTATCTATACCCATTATATTATTATTATTATTATGTGATATGCAGGACAACGTCTGTCGGGTCCGCTAGTATTATGATATAATTGAAATAATTCCAGAAAATGTCGGGCACGGTGACGAAGCACGTGACAGTGGTGGGCGAGCTGTCCGCAAGCGTGACTCGTCACAACTTGCTCGAGGTGTCCGAGCTCGAGCAGGAGATCGCGTGCCAGAGCGACCACTCCAAGCATCTGCAGGTTTGTACCATTCAACGTCAACAGGACCCAGGCTAACTAAGACAGTACCGCTGAAATATTAGAACACTACTAAATTTTAAGTCGCGCTATATCACTACGTAGTATTAAACAAAGTCGTTATCCGCCGTCTGTCTGTCCCTATGTAGACTTAGATCTTTAAAACTACGCAACGGATTTTGATGCTGTTTTTTTAATAGATAGAGTTATATATGTACTGCTTAACTTATGAATTTAAAAAACATTTTATTCATACATACATAACATCACGCCTTTTATCCCCGAAGGGGTAGATAGAGCTGCACATTACGGCACTTAATGCCACTGTACAATGTAACACCCACTTTTCACTATTTATGTTATGAGTCCCATGTAACAGGGGGTGAGCCTATTGCCATATACCTACTGAGATTTATTTAAAAAACCCAACAATACTTTGTCCGATTCGGGAATCGAACCCGAGACTCCTTGCCCGGCAGTCGCATGCGACCACTCGGCCAACGAAGCAGCGAACATTTTATTCACTGTGGAAATATTGTGCTTTTTAAAAATTGGTAACAATAAAAGCCCATCTTGTATTTTATTAACGCGCATACATTTGGCATTTTCATGATTTATATTACTTCATAAAACTCACCTAAAACTAATAATATCTTTACTCACCCACAGCGTCTAAAGAACTTACTATCAAACGAAGCGGTGCGCCATCATGATGCGGCCAAACTAGTCGCTTTATACGCCCTCCGGTATGAGAAACATGCGAGCAACGCATTACCATCACTCATAGAGGCGCTGAAGACCCGAGGGGTGCCTGAACACCTCGTGAAGGCAGTTGTTAACCTACTGGAGTATGGAGGAGCCCATGCCAGGCAGAGTGATCTGTTTGGACTGCAAGATGCTGTCAAGATTACTAAGAGGCTTTTTAAGGTAATTAAAATTTGACACTACTCCTAATCGTCAGGAGGATGCTGTAATAGTTAACTAATAGAGAATACATTTGACAGTGACTGGGGAAGCAAGCCTTCAAAATGTTATTGGTTCCTTTGTCAGAGATTTTTAGTAAAATGTAATCAAATGCCTTTTGTACATTACAGGGTTTGAGCGGCGTAGAAAACATCTACACGCAACACACGCCGCTACTCAAGGACACTTTAGAAGACTTAATCAAGGGAAAACTGCGAGAAAACCTATACCCAACACTAGGGGGCGACGACGGGGCTTACGGTCGTAGACCACAAGACATATTCGTGTTTATCGTAGGTGGCGCCACTTACGAGGAGGCCCAATGCGTTCATCAGATCAACCAAACATACCCGGGAGTCAGAATAGTCCTTGGCGGTACTACGATACATAATTCAACATCCTTCTTTGAAGAAGTGAAGGCAGCAATGCAAGGTGTCCACAGAACACATACTAGGCACATTAGAAACGTTTGAATAAGTTTGTCATAAGATAATGTGCGATATAAATTGTTTGAAGAGTTGACGGTACCTGAAAATTCCTAATGCATTTTTAATTTCGACCTTTTTGTATGGAGTAAGGCACGGAATATAGAATACAATGGAAGTAGCTTGAAACAATATTTCTGCCAGAGCCGGTGTCGCCAAACTAATACATTTATAATTTACTCATACTATAAATCGGAAGTTACAATTGGTTAGAAAAAAAATGGGGCGTAAACGAAATGCAAACAAAATGTCATACGATATGCAACTTTAAAATCACTGAAATAAAAATCAAAATTAAAAATTATATTTTGGACTACCAAGTACCGCTATTCGTCGCTAGATGGCGTTTAACAATGCCATCTAGCGACGAAAAGTGGTACTCGGTTTGAACTTAAACGCCGTAAGAATAAAGGTGATATTTGAATGGCTTATCACTGGCTCGAATGCGGGTCTCTACTCAGATAGTGATGTAGCCTAATTCGATAAAAATAATATCGATAATATGAAAATGTGTTTTAAATATAATGTGAAAAAAATATTGACTGCGATAGTGTGACAGTATTAAAATAATAAAATTAATATGTCGTTGATAACTTTTTAAACGCAACAAAAAAGGGTAAGTATTTATTTGCATGTAAATCAAAAACCATTTTGTTCGTATTTTTTATTAGTTTTTCCAAAAAAAAATTTTTATTTCACATAGGCAATATAAGTAACAACTATTACATAATTTTTTACAAACTTTATATAGATAATGTGATAAGGATGACGGTGCTGATCTGCTCCGTGAAGTGAAGGTTGCTTCCAATCACGTCGGGGTCACCACTAAAATAATAATAAAAAAATAATCTAAATAAATGTTACATTACACTTGCATCGATATTAATCGATAAATATGTAACTTGACCACATCACTATTTGAGTAGCGTAGAACTGGCGAGAATGTTCTATTGAATGGAATAAATCCAAAATAAACTTTATCTTGAAGGCGTAAGGTTAATTTTGACTAACCGTTTTAGTAAATAATATTATTTTAATAACCGTTTTTGTAAATTGAAATAAAATAAGATTTTAACAAGAAAACAATGAAAATTGTACTTACCGATGATACGAAACACCTCCATTTTTACGATTTTTCGGCTGCTATCATTTTTACACGCCAAAACGGAACAAAACGGCATAGTTGAGGAAATATGTATTTGTCACGAGACTAGCAACTCGACGCCATGTTCGAACGAGACTGACCTCGAATTTGCCTCGAGTAAGCTGTACACTGCTCAGTTGTGGCACGCGTGCCACGCCTACTTGCTACTTCCATTGTATTCTATATTCCGTGGAGTAAGGCTTGCGCAGACGAGCTTTGTAAACTTGCGCTGTTCAGAATTTGTATTTTGATATAAAATATTCTTCCATGACTATATGAACTTGCTGCTTACTTATTCCTGTTGAATAATTTCGATGTTTTTGATTTATTGTAAAAAATTGTGTGACCAATTCAATTGTATTTCTTTAATACTGTATTTGGGTCGAATTATATTAGCGCAAAGTCGAAGCGCTTCGAATGATTAAAAAAATAAAAAAGGCGATCGACAGAATCACCCGTCTATCGCACATTTTTATCTCGTATTGATCCTGATGAGTCAAGTTTTTTTATTAACATAGAAATGAAGATATTTTATTTTGTTCTAAGTTATTTTAGTTTTATGTATATACTTTAAAGGATTAAATTATTATTATTAACAAAACAGTGTAAGTTTTATTTTTCTTTCCCTGTGTTAAATGGATCATCACTATCGGAACTTTTCTTTATATAATTAGTAGCTGACCCGGCAAACTTTGTACCGCCTTAATATATCTCACCTTTTAACCCTTCCCTGGATTTCCACGAACATTTCAATATCAAAATTAGCCAAATCGGTTCAGCCGTTCTCAAGTTTTAGCGAATCTATCTAACGAACGGAAATTTATTTTTATATCTAGACACGCGGTAGCGTTAAGCCAAGTTCAAGGAAGAGAACTGGCGAGCCGACCATGCGTATATTACACGTATAAATAAATACGTACGTACATTATAAATAAATTTCAGAACTGACCATTGAACTTGGCACCCATTTAGATCTCATTTCCTTTGTCGTTTAAGTCAACAACCAAGTGGACCAAGGCATTTATCATAATATTGACCTTGGCTCTCATCACATTTATGTTTTTTATTGGATAGCCGGATTTTCTTGTCGTTGGTGCGTTTTCACACACAAACAACACTCAGTCCCAAAACCAATTTGTAGACACAATGAAATTATCAGTTATATTCTTTCACTTATTTTTCCTATCACCCATTTCCTACCATGTTCCGAGTACTTCGAAAAATATATGGTTATTTTCGTTGCAACATGTTTTTGAAAACTATAAAGTTTAATAGAATACCTAGAATACCACCTAAACTGAAGATTTTTCTTAGTTTAGTTATGCATTGTATGTTATTATTTCCTCTTTTGTTACGCTTATTAATGCCCGAATCCCACGTAGTAAACGGAGAAGATGAGACTATTATCATACACTAAGCAATCATTATGATCATGTCATTCATGTGTTCCAAATTATTCACTTCGGATGAGTGTGGGCGAGTTTGTTTTCACGTAGCTTAATATCTCTCGTTGAAATGCAGTTCTACACTGTGTTCTGTCGAAGGGTGTGAATCACGGTAAGTACCTACGAGGAGTGCACTTTACAGGCTAAAAGGACAAGGGGACCGAAACCATTAAAACACAGAACTGTTGTGTTTGAAACACATTTTTTTAACTTTTTTATTGAAAAATATTCGTTGACACAGGTGTTAGCGTGTCCAACAAACAATAAACGATGCCATACCACTTTGGCACATTCCTGCTCACACGCCCTTCGCGGGGCTCACAAATAAAAAGCACTTTTTCACAAATCAAATCTTTCATCAACAAGCGGAATTAAGCAGCAATATACAATATCGAATTTGACATGAATCAGTAAAACTCTAGCTGGTAATTAAGTTCAGCTCATTACTTTGTAGCTCGAAAGCTTTTAAATAATCTTGTGTAAGCGTCAAATTCTACCGATCCGCATCAAACAAATTACAATATATCTTTGTTTATCACTCCTATAAAAACCAATTTACATTATGTCTGCTCCCTTCCGCACACATTATTTCCCTTCAGTCTTTACATAATTTACACCTCCTATACCGAAATGTTACCAAAATGCTACCCACAATATGAACGCGGCGTTCGGATATATCTGTAATAGATAATTAAATTAGCATTTTGTAACTTCCAAGTAGTAGGTCCATACACGTTGGTAACATCCTCACAATGTCCCCCCAGTGGGGGCCAACACACACATTTATAAGGCAATTTCATAGAATTTATCTATACATACAATGGTTTTACGAATCAGCAGCGCCGACATTGAGTCGGTAACAAATATTTACACAAAGGAAAGTGCCTTATACGAGGTAAAAATGTATGAGCTGCTCTCATTGTGGACTGAATCTTAAATTATCATTTGTAACGTGATTATTGTTGAAGTGATAATTTAAAGAGTCAGTCGTGCTAGTTGTCAAGTGGCAATCGTCGGTGCCGAGTGGCCTCGGCTAGCAGCCTCCGAGCAAGGAATATCCAACTAAAGTCAATTTTACGCGAAATTAACACAAGTACGTCAGTATCATTGCCACTTGCTTCAAAGCAAAATTAGTAAATAGTAGTTGTTCAGGCCTGTGACGTCAGACAGCAAAGGACGCGAAGTTGTATCGTAATAATAGACTAACCTGTGTATTAGTATTATTAGAACTGTGAACACTATATTGGGGAATTAAACATTTAACTCCATAAGTAGATATGGCATATTAGTGGAATGTAATGTATGTGCCGATTTAGTTCAACTGACTTAGGAATGTGACCTAATAATGTCTGAACAACTTCTATTCACTCAGTATATAAATATCAGTACCGTTTACTTTGATACGTCACAGTTCAGTAGACACAAGTCGTGATAGTCACATGTCACCATTGATAAAGGCACAATGGAGTTACTCCTTCATCCTAGATTCAACGACATTACGCCCGCCTTTACGGCTTGATCGTTTTATTTTAATTACATACATATATCGGGGATGGCCGTCCACAATCAGATCTCTGATTTGTCCATTCCTCTACATTGAAATCAATAGTTTGAGATAAATGTGCGTTACCATCGGCGCTTGGAATATCGTTGCTCTTAACATGAGAATCTTATAAAAATTTACACCACAACCATTATAATATTATGTGGCCAAAGGAACTCGAACGTCTTTTCGTAAGCACGTACAAATTTCACGAGAAAATAAGAAAAGGTATATTCCTAGCTAAACATAAACATGTCTGTGCCACCAGGCGTGGCACTCCACACAAAAAATATATCGATAATATTTATATGGCGCACAACAATCAACACACGCACATACATCTTTTTATTATTTATCAATCTCTCATTTAGCAACAAACTTACGCGGTGGATTCACTCACGCGATAAAAATTTAAATTAAAACAAGAAAAAAAAAATTGTGAAAAAAAAAGAAAATAAAACAGTAGACGAGAGTCCATACCATGTTCTCAAGAAATATATTACATTCTACAGTCACGAACGTGGTACGGATGTTGTAGGCCCTTCCCGAAAACATTTTTTTTTGTGATTTTTTTTCAAGTTAACATGTTCGAAAAACCTTTATACATCACAAAATAAATACGAATGTAAAGTTTGTGGGAAAGGTCACCAGTTACCTCTCTATATCAATATATTTACACTATATACACGTTATATTCATTGTCTGTTTATATAAATATGTCTATGTTAAATCTACAAATCATTAAACGCGGTGTACATAGAAACAGAGCAACTCATTGGGAGTGATACATACAGTTGGTTCGTCTATAATTTTTACAAAAGGAATGCTTATACATAAGAATAGGAAGAACTCGAATTTGTGTATGAAAGTAATCCTGCAGCACTCCATGGTTTCCGTTGATCAATTTGTTATAAAAGAATGTGAATGTCATCGTCCACATTTGGCGCTACCCAGGGAGCACCGCGCGGAGGTCATGGACTTAGCTCCCCTTGATGCCACACTTAGTAAGCGTATAACGACCCTCCATTCAAGCAGAAACTTATCGATAAATAACTCTACAACTATGGGAGGAAACGTACTGATTGTGCAAATCTTGTGACCCTTACTGATACAACAGAGTATGATACATATTATGACAAGTACATATGTGACAAGTCTGACTTTAATTTATGTGAACAGTGCCAGTATCGTCGTATATATGTATGTATATGCAATCCTAACATCCTTACACCTACCTATCAAAGTTTATATTTTTATTGTCAAACCTACTTGCGTCTGTAACGCATCCTATTACAATTCCTTGAAACTACGCGTGACAGTGACATATGATTGAAAGCCTGGATACTTCGCCAGTTCATAGCATCACTATTATAATGATATTCACAACGATCGGGTGGTTGGTAGGCTTTCAAAAATACCTTCTTCATCACAGTAAACTATTCAGTTCAAAATTATAATATATTTGTAATTGTAATGTTATATAATACTATTATACAAATTTTACATAAGAAAAATATGTAGATTCTGTTTAAAATTATATGTTTAGTCCATCTCATTCATCCTCGCGCACCGAGTTGCTGGCGGTTCAACTGAAGGGTGTATTTATATAAAGCTTGTGTATACAAGAACGTTTGGATTCGCACAATGTATCCGTCACGCTTGAACAAAGGGGACTAATGAATGAAAACAATAAGTTTCTTACAATGGCGAATTTACAGAGACTGGCCATTTATGTGGCAAATAAAATGTACCTAAAACGTGATTAGTGAGAGAAATGTTCAGCAATCCACCCCGTGACCTCTACAGGGATGGAATCCACAGACTAATGACAGTTTGTTCTCGACACTACAATTATGAGGCTGAGTTTCACTAACAGTGTAATCTGAAAAGGCGTAGTTACTACGTTCATATTAAATATGCTAATAGAAAATGTTTAACGAACAATTGATTCTTTTATAACCATAGTCTGGGGATGAGCACTCTCAGGGAGTCGGCCACGTATCGCGGCCCAGCTACACAGTAAACGTTGCCTTCTCAAAAGCTGCAAATGTATAAAATAAAATAGAACTAATGACTCGTGAGACAGTAAATTCATACCTTAGTAAACATTGAGCATCTAGGATGGTCCCGACACTTGTTCTTACTTTCAACTGTCCAATGAAAGTCGTTACAGTATCAAATCGACGGGCGCGTGCAACACCGCCCACCATTGACATTAAGAAATTTAAAACTATTTGCCAATTTATAAATTAATAATATTTAAAGTGCAATTGACACTTTGGAATTAGTTATGTAATCGCGGAGGGTACCTTCACAATAATAACCCTAAACCTAAATAAATACATAACGAACTGACCGCTGTCTCAGAATGGCGATAGTCGTCAACGAGGGAACTAACCTTACCGACCGACGACAAGAGGGACCCGACTGTATTACTAGACAAAGGATAATCTTGCCTTCACATATTATACATTAAATATAAAATTCTATGAATACGTTACAGCTAAGTTGTATCAAACTTTATTATGATATTTAGTTCGATATATTTTCATATACTTTTTTTATATAAAACTGACTTGCACCCAGGCGAGGTGTCGCGATAGATATATAAAGAGGATAGTTTCGGACCCCTCTTGTTTCCCGTCGGTAAATTTGATAGAGAGTGAATTATCTAGTTTATTATAATACACAGGGCCGCCGCCGACCCTCTCTCCGTCCGTACAAGACGATCTATCTACACTTACAACATATCAACAAACACACACCATACGACATCATTTGTATTTCCCCGCCATGCTAAAACTAACTAAAATATATATAACAGTTTCATGTGTATGGCAACACCTTCAACTGCTTTGAAAGTATTGCCAGAATTCATATTATTTCGAAGTTAACTCACAATATCGGGATTTCACGTGACAATGTGATTGTTTATAGAAAAATTGAACCAATCTCTTAATAGTTATTTGCAATTGTTATTCGTTTTAAGTTGGGAACTATGTTATTAAAGATGTGTACATATCTTTGGTTTATATCACAATGTTCAACTTTCATTTACATTACGATGGGGGTAAACTATCAATATTTTATACAAAATTCCGTATTTTAGTATATGTCACTTATGCAACAAATGAAAAGGAACCGAAAATATGTTGCCACGTGAAAATACCGAGTAAAAATTTACGAAAGACAATTAAACATCAATTATTGCGATAAACGTATCGATACGAAGAAGGCATACAAGTTATTACTTTACGTTGTATTAAAGTCAGAGAATAGACATTACGCGCGTTTCCTTACCACCAGTGGGACTCGCCAGCTGATCGTAAGACCACGAAACATTCGTCACGAGTACTAAGCAATACTTGAATATCGCCAAATATTATTGATGGCGCTAAAAGTATTCTGGTATTCCGTGACAAACCATGACACTCGATTAAAAAATGAAGGCCTCCTAGTCTACGTGCTAATTTTGATATAAACAATATTAAAATGTTCTGCTTACTAACTGTAACAGTACGTACAGCAAGGATGGGGGCGCTTGTTCAATGAAACTTTTATACCGGAGGTTTCACGCGCTCCGCTCCCTTTACAAATAAGTCTCTACGGACATATGTTACAAATATTACATCAAAAAAGCTTTGCAAGTGCACTTTTATAAATTTTAAAATTCCAATTTACTGTAAAAAAGTTGATTTAGGTCAGATTTATTTTTTATTTATAAATAATTTAAAATGCATTTCGCTACTGCGAAATGTTATGTTTTCCTACAAAACCGCAAAATATACGTGACGCTGCCAGCAGCAAAATGAGGAAACTACCGTCCAGCAATACTTTCACAACGAGACCTCCAGGCTGGTCCTAGTGTACACTGTCACCAGGTGGTGAGGGAACACAGTCCGTGTATCGCAACACTGTGATGTTACACATCGGATACGAATGAAATTTAACGATGACGACGAATAGCTTAGGTCGAATATTTACACGTAAATCCGATAGTCGGTATTACACTCGCGATAATATGAAGTAGAGGCAAGGAAACGACGCTGTCGGGGCGAGCGAGGCGGAGTCAGGCGGGGCGGTCGGGGCGGGGCTGCAGGCGCAGCGTCAGCCGCGTCAGGCGCGTCAGCCGCGTCAGTCGCGTCAGTCGCGCCGCCACCACCACGCCCGTCGCCGCCCGTTACCCGTGGCTGCCGCCCGACCCCACGCCCGGCGTCGTGGACCCGCCGCCGCCCTGCGCCGGGCCCGCGCCGTGGCTCGGCGGCAGCAGCACGCCCTGCGGAACAAACACGTCACAACTCCCATACGCACAACAAACAAGCAACGATTTCACTGGAAATATCTTCGACAACAATGAGACAATTGAAAAGCAGAGGGTAACCCTTTAGTTAGGTGATGTCAACAATGTACCTGGATTGAGTGTGGGTGAGGCTGCGGCGGCGATGCGGTGGGAGGCGCGTGATTCAGGTACGCAAGGTGATGGTGGTGGTGGTGGTGGCCTCCAGATCCCCCTGGACCCATCAAGGGACATAGCACCTGATGATACGCCTGGACACACGACAGACACATCGTTACGAACAAGACAAACATAATTTCACCAGCAACATGATGTTAGAAACATTGAGAAAAGCAGATCCCCAACACATTTGATATCTTAACATTAACATAACCCATTCAAAGTTCAACAATTTTGAAATTTTGGTGATCAGCTGTCAAAAAGCGGATATGCTAGAACATCAAGCTACCCATATCTGTAAAATTACCAGTTTAATATTTTACAGGCAAGGGTACGCTGACGTTGCCGTAGTATGTACGTACGTTTACCTGAAACGGAGGCTGTTGGAAATGATGGTGCGGGTGTGGGTGCTGGTGGGGGTGCGGGTGGGGGGTGTGCGCGGGCGAGG